AAAGATGGGCAATCTCCTCCCATGGAATTCAGAGACTGAAACCCTGCTGGAGGGGCTTCCAACTCAATGGCAGTGAGTTTATTTTATTTGTAGTGTAAGAAGTTCAGTTTGCTCGGCTCCACAGTCAACACTCTTGGCACCAGTAGCCAGGAAATAAAAAAACAAAACATATTGCAATGGGAAAGTCTGCGGTTAGGGACCTCTCTACTCAAGAGCAACGGTGTCTCTCTGGAGACTAAGGTGTGCCTGGTATAGGCCATGGTTTTTGCAATCACTTGTTATGCATCAGAGAGTTGGACAATGACTAGGGAGGATAGAAGGAGAATTGACGTCTTTGAGCTGTGGTGCTGGAGAAGAGTACTGAATGTACCATGGACTGCCAAGAAAACAAATAGATTCATCCTAGAGAGGGTTAAACCAGGCTGCTCCTTGGAGGCAAGGATTCTGGGGCTTCGCCTGACATACTTTGGACATGTTGTAAGGAGAGACAGGTCTTTGGAGAGGGACATCATGCTGGGCAGAGTGGAGGGACAGCACAGGAGGGGAAGACCCTCTTATGAGGTGGATTGATTCAGTGACTGGGGTAATCGGGATGGATGTGTCAGAGGCAATGAGATTGGCACAGAATAGAGCAGGGTTTAGGGCTGTTGTACATAGGGTCGCTATGAGTCGCAAGCGACTCGACGGCACATAACAACAACAACAAGTATAAGAAGTTAGAGGTCAAAGTTTACAGGAAGGCTGCCTCTCTGTCGGTTCTGGAGGGAAGTCTTGGCTTCCTTCAACATTCCGCAGAGACCTCCCTGTGTCCTGGCCCCTGTCAGCGTCAAGGAGTTGCATAGCACAGAGAACTAAGTTCAAAAGGATTCGTGTCTGGCAATTCTTTCTTATGCACTGAATCCCCCTCTTGACTCAGTTTCCTCCCTTTTATCTCTTATGTGAAAAGGTGCTATAATCTACACCTAAGGAAACCTCCCTTACATCTACCAGGGCTGTGATGGGATCAATAGCTATTATATTCCACCCTTAATCCTTTTACAACAACAACAACGAGAAAGCTCTGTTGGCCTAGTGGATAGAAAGTTATGCTACCAATCCAAAGTTGGGTAATTTTAATCTGCAGCCCTCAGGCCTGGTTTTAATTGTTTTTGGTCAGATATTCTTCTATGTGGTAAAGCACTTGTCTGTTCCCTTGCTGTACAGAGGTAACTCATGGTTGCTGTGATGCTAAACACTGTGACGCTGACGTGACAAATGTGATAATGGTTATCCATGGTGGACAGTGTTTGGTGGAGCTCCCCGATTAAAACAAGCTTGGAAGCAGGAGTGGCATCTACTTCCGAAATAGCTTGCCTCTGGAAACCATGTGAACTTGGAGAAATGATGAAAGTTTTACAGGTGTTCAGGTCTTTCGTTCATAGGGTCACTATGAGTCGTCTATGACTCGACGACACTTAACAACAATCCTTTTACTGGTTTATCAGGTCTGGGGGGATCATTACATCATTATGTACTTGTGTTTTGGGGAATACAATTCAATCCATTACAGAGGGGAGAAATGACATCCAGCAAAAGGAATCACCTGCACTAGGTTTGGGGTGGGAAGCTCTGGTGGCCTAGTGATAAGAAGCTGCTCTGCAATCCAAAGGCACTTGATTCGAATCCAGCATTGGGAGAAGGATGGGCCATCTCCTCCTGTATGATTTACAGCCTCTGAAAACCCAGCGGAGAGTCAGCTATGAGCTGGCTTCTATTTGAGGACACACAGTAACAATCACAACAGGTTTGGGAGTTTTGCACTGCGGTAGTAGGGAGCACGGACAGCGGCACTGGCTCGGAGGGCAGGTGGCAGGCCAGTGGTTCCGGTCTCTATGAGCTGAGTCAAGGAGCTCCTAACACCACATCCATCCTGAAGAGCAGTGACTCGTAAACCACTCTGAATCCTCGTTTACGTTAGTGCTGGTTGTGATTCAGCCGGGTCGTGTCACCTTTAGGGAGCTGCACTGCACCCCCAAAGGCGGTGCCTCTCTGGTGGTTTGAATCTTCCAGGTACTCCAGCAAAGAAAGATGGGCATTCCCTCCCACGTGATTTTCAGCCTCTAAAAACCCAGCGGAGGGTCAGCTGTGAATGGGTGTCACCTCCGTGACAATGTGCTTGGTGGTTTTTTAAAAAATTAAACTTTTACTTTATATTGGTTTGCTTACAAAGTTCATATGCACTGTGTTTCACACGACTCTTCATTCACATTGTATTTCATACATCGTTCTCCTTCCTTATGTTTTGAAAAAGTAATCAACATTAAGGGAGCTCTGATAGCCTAGTGGCAAGAAGCTGCACTGTAGTCCCAGAGGTCCGCGGTTCAAATCCACCAGATGCTCTATTGGAGAAGGAGGGGCAATCTCCTCCTGTACCAGTCAGATTCTATTGGAGAAGGAGGGGCAATCTCCTCCTGTACCAGTCAGATCCAATTTGGTGGTACACACACACACAAAATTTTTTTAAAAAATGAAAAAAGTTAATCACCATTGGACCATGCCCACCTTTGCTCTGTCTTTCCAGATCCCTCCAGATCTTTCCCATTTCCTTCTGACAGTAGGTTTTTGTGAATGAGTCAAGGAGAAAGAGACTTGCCATCCACTTCCCTCTGAATGTGGAATTTATGAGGGACCTTAGACAAGTCACTCTCTTTGGAATTCCCTAATTCCATCTTGGCTTGTATACATTCACATGTAACTTAAATATTTTTATGTGATTTTGACTTCTACAAGCTGTTCCTCTTGGCAGGCTCCAAGGATGCCCGGGAAGGACCTTGGGAAGCAGCTTGGAGGCTGAGAGCTGTTTAGCCTCCTTCTCATGGAGGAGAAGTTCTTGCTGGTGTGACCAGTTGCATCCTTGGCTGATTTTTTTAGGTCTTTCTTGCTAGTCCATCTTAGTCTGGAAATCTGTTCAGTAGCATACAAGCCTCACCTGGCAGAGAGGTGGTGGCCAAGCAGGAGGTGTGCTGGCTGGGATCGAACCCAAGTACCCTGCAAGGAGAGAAACTGAGCACTGAACCACACTGTCAACCACTCAGTGTTTCTCTAGGCATGCAGTGCCGAGAAGGAGTATTTTCACATTAACATCTAAAGGGATACCGAGGTATTCTCCCAGAAAAGGAGGCAGAGCAACACAGGGGAGCAGCTGCTAGGCAGGGAAAAGAGACAGAGGGGACCCCCAGCTGTGGCCCTTCCTTTGGGGAGCCCCATGGCCTCTAGTTTTCCTCACTTAAGCTGCAAAGGAGGTTAACCAATTCCAGGCTCTCGTACATTTTTCTCAAAGGCATCACTTAGGACAATTCGTCACGGCAGGCTGACAGGCCACATAGCTTCAGGCAGAAGCCCTTTTCACTTCTGGAAAATTAAATCACAGAAAAAGCCACCTTCAGCGAGTACAAAGAGAGCTCTGGGCCATGAGGTGAGGATGACAGGTGTACAGGGCCTTAAAGTTCACAAATATTAACACTGTGGGTCACCTCAAAACAGGATTAGATTCTGGACGGCTCACAGTGCTGTCTAGGCTGAAAGTTGACGTGGAAACCCACACAAAGAGTACAGAGTCCCCATCTACCCTGTCCCTGCTGTCCCTGCACACCGCTTCCCTTACTGTTACTGCCCTCTTGCATCTTTGAGGTCATTTGATGTCAATTTAAAGACCAAGATGCGCCTGGTCTGAGCCACGGTCTTCTCAATTGCTTGCTCTGTATCTACATGTTGGACAATGATCAAGAATGACAAGAAGTAGAATCAGTACCTTTGATTTGTGGTGTTGGACAAGAGTACTGAATATCCTATGAACTGCCAAAGAATGAACAAATATGTCCAGGAGGAAGTGCAACCGTCGTGGTCCTCAGAGGCAAGGATGGTGAATCTTCATCTCATCAAAGATTTGGGTTTGCTGTTGGGAGGGGCCGGTCCTGGGAAAAGAAAGCTTGCTGGGAAAAGTGGGGGGTCAGTGAAAGACAGGAAGACCTTCCACAAGATGGAATGATACAGTGACTGTAAAAATTGGCTTATGTAAGTTAGACATGATGAGGAATGTATAAGACAGGACGAGGTTCAGATCTGCTGACCCAGCGGCACCTAACAGCATTATTAACTATGCCTGTAGTTTATATTAAGGAAACTGGTGGCGTAGACTGCAGTGTGTTGTTCTGTTAACCAAAATGGGCCACTTCCCGTGCGATGAACTGCTTCTGAAAACCCATTGGAGGGTCAGCTATAGGTCATTTCCTACTTGGTGGTACATTACAAAACCAATATTATATAAGTATATATACATATGTTCTTTAAAGGGAGCTCTGGTGGCCTAGTGGCAAGAAAGCTGTACTACAATCCCAAAGGCACACAGTTCAAGGCCACCAGCTGCTCCGCAGGAGAAGGATGGGCAGTCTCCTCCCATGCAAGTAACTGCCTCTGAAAACCTGCTGAAGGGTCCGCTCTGGGTTGGTTCTGACTCGATGGCACAGAGCAACAACAACATGTTCTTTAATGCCATCTTGGAGACATAACCGGTACTGCTCAGTTTCCTATATGTATCGTTTTGTGCACAGACTGCAGATAACACGTGTAGGTAGTATGTGTGTGTGTGTTCGTGTGTATATGTTCGTGTATGTATATTCTCTCTGTGCTGTCTCTCTAACATCTTTCTAGGGTGTCTGATTTTCCTGAGGACAGAACACCTGTCACCTGATGAGACTTGGGAAGAACACAATAGCAATCAATAGCAGTGCATAAAAGGTTACCACGGGGCTGGCTCTGACTTCAAGACCCGTGTGTTGTGTGGAGCACTGTCACGGGTTTTGGTGGCTAGTTTTTCAGCCAGCCAGACCTTCTGAGAAGGTCTCTGGTAGATCCTGACTTTAGTGGCTGCGTGCAGACCCCTCACATCCGCAGGTGGCCTCCAGAACGCTCCTGCGGGGGAGGTCAGCTCGAGTCCAGCTCCCTGTCTGGTGTCTCCTCAGGTGTATACATCCTCACCACTGGCCTGATCCCCGTGCTGGAGGGAGAGCAGGACCCCAGAGTGGTGAGTTGACCCCTGGGGATGTTTTGTGAGTGCTTGACTTTGTTCCTAATGGGAAGTGACCCTGCACTGCTCAGGTGCCCTAAGAACACCTGCATCAGTGACCAGCTCTGCCCAAGAGGCCATGTGTCTGCAGCGGTTCCCCAGGGTGGCCGGGCGTGGTGTCTAGATGGGAGTCAGGAGGGAGGCCGAGGGGGACACGAGCTCTGGTGGGCAGCACCCCCCTTCTGTAACTGTGGAAGCAGACGGGCTCCTCCTCATTCTGCAGAGTGGCTGGTGGATTCACACCGCTTTCATTTAGCAGCTGAGTGCCTGCACCCTTCAGTTCTTCCTGAGATGGGAGGTAGGATCACACAGAGCCTTGTTAAAGACCCACACCCTCACTGATGGCTGGCCCTCAGGAGACAAAGCACAGGGGACAGGAGGCTGTGTTGTCTGTAGAGCACCTTGCTCTCATTGGAGGTCAGGCAGCCTCTTCTCCCCCAGTTGTGGACATAGGTGTGTGGTAGGGAGAGATGGTCCTCCTCCCTCCCCTGAGGCTGTCCATGTCCTCACCACTCCTGTCATCACCACTGGCACCTGCTGATAGGCTGCCTTATGTGGGAAGAGGGGCTGTGCAGGTATGACAGGAGACCCGCCCCCGGGGTGTCAGAGTGGACCAGCTGGAACATGGGGTCCCTAAAAAAAGGCAGCAGAAGGTTTGAGTTAGAACAGATGTGATGACAGAAGCAGACGTTGGGGTGGAAAGTGGATGGCCTGTAGGAGCTGGAGACAGTGAGGGACGGGTCCTTGCCTCGACTCTCAGAAGGACCACGGCTCTGCTGGCACCTGGATTTCAGCCCAGGAGTCCCATTCTGGTCTTCCAACTTCTAGAACATTTGCGTAGTTTTAAGCGACAGAGATTGTGATAATTGTAGCAGCAACAGAAAGCGGGTGCTCAACCGATGAGAGGACAAAGGGCATTGGCTGTACCCCGCAGGAAGTGCAGTGGTGGTGAGGGACAGTAGGGGGCAGAACCGGCAGAGATGGCGTTTCAGTGTGTAGGAGTGGTGGTTAAGTCCCGAGTAGCCTTGCTCTCATTGATGTACGTCTTCTGGCAGCACAGTGCCAGGCTGCTAACCGAGTTCCCAATTTGTAATCCATCAAGCCACTCTGCAGGATAAAGATAGACTATTTCCCTTAAGATTTATAGCCTCTCAGTAACTTGTGGTCGGTGTGAAGCTGAACACTGTGACACCAATGTGTCAAATGTGGTAACAGTCACCCATGGTGGACAGTGTTTGCTGGCACTACCCGGTTGAAACAAGCTTGGAAGCAGGAGTGGCATCCACTTCCATAAATAGCTGCCTCCGGAAACCCTATGAACCTGGAGAGAGGATGAAAGTTGCACACGCAAGTGTTGAGGACTTTTGTTCACAGGGTCGCTATGTGTCACCTACTCAACAATACTCAACAACAGTTAGACTCAACTGGAGAATGGTAGTAATAGATAGATGATGGAGCTCAGGTGGTGTAGTGTGAAAGGCATGGGACTGTAATCCAAAGGGTCAGCAGTTTGAATCCATCAGTCGATCTTTGGGAGATAGATGGACAGTCTCTTCCTATAAAGATTTACAGCCTCACAAGCCCAGTGGAAGGTCATTATGAATCCAGACTGATTCCATGACAAGGGTTTGGGTTGGGTTTACAAAGTGACGTCCTGTGTCAAGTGAACTCATTGTGATTTTTTTTTTCTTTTCCATTTCTTGAGGGAAAGCTAGCTTAGCTTCAGTCTTTGTAAGGAAGTGAGGACCATTTCTTCAGTGGCTGTGTTAGAAAACCATGGCCACCACACTTTTACTTCACATAAGTTTTCAAACTGTTCATGAACAAACTTTTAAACATCACGATGAGAGAAAACAATGATGAAACACAAGCTTAGTGGAGAGGCAGCCCAGGGAACAGTGATTGGGGGTGGGGGTGGTGTCCAAGCTGGATGCGGAACTTTCTGTCACCTTCCTGGCAGATAACCGTCTCCTCAGGAGGAATGCTGGTTCAGAAACTGGACACTGATGATCTGCAGTCAGAAAGGGCAGCATTTGATGGAACCATGGTCTATGCACAAAACAAGGTAAGTGAAGTGGTGACTTCACATCTGCATTTTATTAACAAGCCACGCGGTCTCTTTGCTGGGGAGGGGTGACTCTGGGTTGCACATGAGCGTGAACCTTAGTACACACTAGAGCTCCTGGCAGTGGGAATGGTCAGTTCGCTCATTGCTAAGCCAAAGGCTGGAGGTTTGACTCCATCCAGAGGTGCCATGTAAGAAAGGCCTGGCAATCTGCTTCTATCAAAAACCAGCCTGAAAACCCTAGGGAGGACGAATCTAGGTGAAACCACATGGGGTCTCCATGAGTCAGAGTCGGCTCTGGTGCCCGGGTTTGGTTTTCGGTTGACAGCAGTCACAGCTGGAAGGGGGCAGAGGGGGGCTGTGGTGGGAGAGATTGGCTTGGGTTCTGTCTGCAGTCTGCACATAGCCCAGGGTTGACGTGACCATTACATCAGAAGTTATCGCCCAATGCCTGCTCATACGTTGTGATGTATCTGAAACGGAACACAGCTTTGCTCAGGCTGGCGTGCTGGGGAGATGGAAAAGTCAGTTAACTCTCTTCTGTGATTCTGAGACCACATAGAAAACTGTGATGGTTAGTCACCCCTGAAACCCAGGATCCCAGCAAAGAGGCCCTTTCCTGGTCCAGGGCAGCTTCTGTCCAGCAGGGCAGAGTCACACAGCAACAGTGAAGGAGGAAGTTCTGGGCCGGCTCTCGCCCGAGTGAAGGGTTCTCCTTGCAGTGTTATACTCAGCCGTGTCTGCTCAGACCTCGAGGGCATGTCAGGAGGGGGCGCAGAGCCTGGACAAAGATGAGGGGCTGTCTTAGCACACTTGTAACCTCCCCCCCAACTGCACTACAAGTCTCCTTTGTTCCTTCTTTCCTTCCTGTCCCAGAGGCAGCAGGTGGTCCTGACTGAGCTGTGGGCCAGCGCGCACCAAGCCATCCACTTCTCATGCATGCACCCTGGCTGGGTGGACACTCCAGGTAAGCTATGGCCTTAGTCCCCCACCACTGTGCTGCCAACAACACCTGGGCAGCCACGGGACTGGCTCTCCCCAGGGGTGACCCAAAACTAGTGTGGCAAGGCCTGTCCATATCCGGCTGAGTCAGGCATGCGGGAACCAGAGGGAAAAGCCTTGTTCTCAGGGGCAAAACTTCTGTCCACAGGTGTCTTCTGCAGAACCAAGGAAGGGACGGTGCTGGTTGGGGTGGGCACGTGGGTGGGCACATGGGGAGTGGCCTAGCTTTGTCCTCCTTGGGCATCCACTGACTAGGGAGGGAGCTGGTGAGCGAGGCCGCTCCATATCAGAGGTGAATGACAGGGGCTGAGGGAAGGACTGGAGGCAGGCCTGGGCCACCTGCACCCCCAGAACTGTGGAACAAGGGGTGCCCAAGGGAAAGTAGGATCACTAAGGAGATGGAGCGTCGGGGAATGCGGCCTCCCTCCACGGCTCTGCCCCTTGCACGCTGTGCCCTCTGCTGACACAAGGCCTTTGCTCTGCAGCTCCTTCCTCCTCCTCAGACACAGCGCCCACCAACAGCACACCTCCCCACACAGCGTTCTCAGTGCCAGCTACCCCTCTAAGAGCTGCGTACATATATGCTCATACCGTTCTCACATCTGCTGGGAGGTGTGCTCTGAGATCATACCCACTTACAGATGTGGAGACTGAGGGATAATGCCACTCAGCTGCTTCCTTGGTTTTGTGTTTTGGGAGGCAGGTTCTTATACACTCAAGGCCAGATTAGAGTTATCTTAGTAGAAGCCGTAAAAATGTATCTCCGTGTTTCTAAAAGTTTGTTCCCACAGAGTTGTTTCTGGTCCTTGGCAGCCTCGTTACAGTGTAGAATCACTCCACAAGATTTTCTTGGCTATATATAATCCTTTTAGGGCGTACTGGTGGACTAGTTGGTAAGAAGTTACACTGTCAACCCTAAGGCACCTAGTTCAAATCCACCAGCTGCTCTGTGGGAGAGAAAAAGATGGACCGTCTCCTCCCATGTGATTTAAAAGCCTCAGAAAATCCACTGAAGGCCAGCTGTGAGTCAGTTCTGACTCAAGGGTACCCAACAACAACATCTTTCTGGAAGGGTGTCCTGGTGGTTTGGTCTGCTAACCAAACTCTGGTGGTTCAAATCCCCCAGTGGTTCCCCATGAGAAAAATGGGTGAGTCTCTTCTCATGGGGATTTGTTGTGGATTCGGACTGGCTGCCTTGGAGTTGGCAGCACCACTCCTCACCACTAGGCCACCAGAGCACCCTCATTAAGATTCACAGGCTTAGAAACCCAATGGAGGGCTGTGATGAGTCATGGTTGACTCAGTGGCAGTGAGTTGGAGGGTTGTTTTTTTTTAAATCTTATGGGGAGAGTTTGTCAGGCCTTTCTTCTGTCTGCATGGATATATTTACACAGGTGTATATATGTATACACACACACACACACAAATGTGCTACTGTAACAGAAATGTCACACACATATAGCTTTGACAGACATGTATTCTCTCACAGTTTAGGAGGGTAGAAGTCCGAATTCAGCATGCCAGCTGTAGGGTAAAGCTTCCTCTTTATATTACCTTTGAGGGAAAGGAAAGGCCCTGTTTCCTTTCCATGTCTTGGAGATTTTCCTTGGAGGACTGCCCTGTGTCTTGGCATCAACTCTCCTCTGGGTCTAGGCAGTTCGCAGCACAGGGATCCTGGGCCCAAAGGACACCCTTTCACTTCTGGCTCTTCTTTGTCATCTCTGCTTGATGTTTTGTCTCTTTTATATTGGAAAAGAGACTGACTGCAAATATCACCCAATCTTGTAAATGGTATTCTGCCTCATTAACAGAAATGCTGCTAACTCTGCCTCATTAACATCTGAGGTCAGGATTTACAACAGTAGGATAATCAGATCACAGAATGTCAGATACTTACATAATACTGAGACCTTTGGCCTTGCCAGGCTGACACACATTTTGAGGAGGACACAATTCAATTCCTAACAATAGCTTTTGAATTCATCCTATGAAATCATTAGATATGTAAAACCAAGTGTTCCTAACAGCACTGCACTGGGAGATGAATAAGGCTCGGGCCTGGAGACTGTCTGCAATACAGAATTTTCACATTCTGAAATGGGGGGCCCTGGTAGCCTAGTGGATAAGGAGTTGTGCTGCCAACCCAGAGGCAGGCAGTTTGAATCCACTGGCTGCTCCACAGGAGAAAGATGGGCAGTCTCCTTCCTTGCAATTTACAGCCTCTGAAAACCCACTGAGGGGTCAGTTATGAGTTGGCTGTAACTTGAAAGCAATGAGTTTATGAGGATTTTTAAAGGTTTTTCTCTTTTGCTGCACATCCCCCCCTCCCCCCCGAGAAAGGAGTGCCTGGCCCAGAGATACAGCAGGATTGGCCCTCTAATGACAGGGCAGGGCTTCGGTGTGTCCCCCTCCTTTTTCTCACTTCCTCTTGGGCTTGGTTTTGCCTGTCCAGGATGAGTTCCATCAAGTTCTCTTACACCCCTACAAACATAACCTATGAACTCCAACTTAAGTAGGGTTACCAGATGCTGCCTTAGATGTTCTCACCAGGTTGTGCCAAGAAATCTGGAGGTCAACTACCTGGCCAACTGACTGGAAGAGATCCATATTTATTCCCATTCCAAAAAAAGGTGACCTGACAATGTGGAAATTATCATACAATATCACTCATATCACATACAAGCAAAATACTGCTGAAGATTATCCAGAAACGACTGGAACAGTATATTGACAGAGAACTACCAGAAATACATGCTGGGTTTAGAAGCGCTCAGATGGATCTTGGCAGAAAGCAAAGGAGTATCAGAGGAATGTCTTATTTATGTTTCACTGACTATGCAAAGGCAAAAGACTGTGTAGGTCACAACAAATTGCAGTGAACCTTGAGGAAAATGGGAATCCCAGAACACTTGATTGTGCTTATGTGAAACCTATACTTGGACCATGAAGCAGTCCTCAGGACAGAGCAGAAAACACTGCATGGTTCAAAATCAGAAAGACTGTGTTAGGGATGCGTTCTATCTTCATACTTTTTCAATCTATATGCAGATCATTCGGGACGCTGGGTTTTATGAGGGGGAACATGGCATCAGGATTGGAGGAAGACTCATCAACAACCTAAGTTATGCAGATGACACAACCTTGCTCACTGAAACTAAGGTGGACCTGAAGTGCTTGTTGTAGAAGGTCAAGGACTGCAGTCTTCAATATGGATTGAAACTCAACATCAAGAAAACAAAGATTCTCACCACTGGGCCATTTGGCAACACCAAGATGGATAAGGAAGAGATTGAGGATGTTAACAATTACAGCTTGCTCAGATCCACAATCAGCACTCTTGGCACCAGCATTCAGGAAACCAAAAGACAAATTCCATTAGGTAAAACTGCTGTCAGGGGCCTTTCCAGAGTACTGAGAAGCAACGATGCCAGTCTAGAAACTAAGGTGCACCTGATCCAGTCCAGGTCTTCACAGTTACTTGCTATGAGAGCTGGATAATGATTAAGGATGATAGAAGAATTGATGCCTTTGAGCTGTGGTGCTGGAGAAGAGTCTTGAACATACCATGAACCTCCAAGAAAACAAGTAAGTCTGTCTTAGAGAGTGAAACTATGTTTCTCCTTGGAGGCTAGGATTTTGAAGTTCCATCTTACATATTTTGGGCATGTGGCCAGGAGGGACCAATCCTTGGAGAAGGACATCATTTTTGGAAGGGTGGAGGGACAGCACAGGTGAGGAAGACCCTGGATGAGATGGATTGATACAGTAACTGGGGCAATGGGGGTAGGTGTTTTGGAGTCAGTGAGACTGGCTGAGGAGAGGACAGGCTTCAGAGCTTTTTGTACACGGGGATGCTATGAGTCACAGGTGACTCCATGGCACATAACAACAACTAGGTGTGTGTTTAGTAGGCCTGGCTGTAACGTGTGGGGTAGAGTGGAATGGCACTGCCCGTGGCCCGCAGGTTCACCAGTGATGACAGCCTCTATGGTGCTCATAGGGGGAGCATGTGAACAGCTCATCTCTGAGTGGCTGGACAGGCCAAAAGCCTCAGTGACCCTATGAACAGGAGATCTTCATTTCACCCTGTCCTGTGCCACCATATGGTGGTCGTCACCGTGTTCCCGTTGGCGAGCGTCTTCCTCTCTTTCGCTGCCCCTCTGCCTTTCTCTGCATGCGGCTTCTCTTCAAGGGCTGGTTCAGCTGATTCTGACTCAGGGGCCTTCGTGTGAGTCAGCGTAGAGCTGGCCTTTCTATGGATGCTTTTTCAGAAGGTGATCACCCGGCCTTTCTTCCAAGGCCCCTCTGGGTGACCCTGGTGAGCAGCTGAGAACACTGACTGCCCACAGCTAGCAGAGAAAAGGTTTCATTGCCTCCTGTTCACTCATCACTAGTGCCTAATTATTGTACAGCAAACAAGCTGTACTTCTATAAAAAGAAAAATTTATTTTTGATGTTGTTTTTTTGTTTGTTTTGTTTTTTTTTTTTTTTTAAGAAGAGGCTTAGATTATATGACTCCTATCTCTAAAATTCTCTAACCTCAGTAAGGCTTCTAAATGTTGTTTTCTCTGGTTTATTTTCTTCCTTGGCTTCACAAGAGAACTATTTTGTTTCCCAACTTGCTTGATTTAGAGACATTGTGTTCCTGGAGGTCTGTGGGAAAAGGCGGGTTTGCCTGCAGCCAAGTCACAAGTCCAGGCCGCCCGGATCTGGAAGGCCATGGTGGATGAGCTGGGCGGCTGCAGGTGCTCAGACCAGGCTGAGGGGGGCTGTGCAGGGACCACCACCACTGTGTGGCCCTGAGGACAAGGGGGAAGCAGGAGGGCATGCAGGCTGCATGGCAGAGGAAGTAAAAAGAGCCTTTCGCTTCATATTAACAATGCTCTCTAAAAAGAAGTCAGTCAGTCTAAGAGGCCAAGTGTCCAGATCCTCCCAGAGGGACGACCACAGCCGAGCCTGGGCTTTAACTTCCGGCCTCAGCATGGGGCCTGGGCCCCTTGAGAGCTGTTTCTGAGGGGCCTTTGGAATGGGTTGTCCTGGGCCCTCGGGCAAGATGCCAGCACCTTCTGCAGACTGTTCTCCGCCCAGTGCCAGGGGCCACCTCCTGATAAGGTTCTCTGACTCCCCCTCCACACTCAGAACACTCAGTTCAAACTCATTGCTGTAGAATCAGAACCGACTCACAGCGGGTTTCTGTAAACTACAAAGGAGGAGATTGTCCATCAAGGAGATTCTCCCTTGGTGGATTCGAACCGCCAGATACTGCCTCTGTGTTAGCAGCTCAACTCTCCCCAGACCAGGCCACCAGAGATGCCCAACAGCTTGGAGAAATATTCAAGTAGAAAGTACAGCCCCATTGTGTTCTGTAATAATTGGCATTTGGGGTTCTTTGGAGGAGACATTTAAAATAAGGTCACCACATCGAATTCCCTTCCCCCAGAATGCTGTCATGGTCTCTGTCCCCTTCCTCCCCAGCTGTGCGGCTGTCCATGCCCGGCTTCCACGCCAGGATGAAGACCAGACTGCGCTCAGAGGCGCAGGGTGCGGACACGGTCCTGTGGCTTGCCCTGTCCCCAGCGGCCACCACGCACCCCAGTGGCCAGTTCTTCCAAGGTAACTAACTCCCTTCCTGTCTGTATGAGCTGCTGTGGCCCTGTCCCTGGTTCGTGGGTGGGGTGACTGAGGCAGGACTTCCGGCCGCTGGGATTGGTTCTGCCCCTGCTTCGCCCCTTGACTGTACACTCTCACCCCCAACACTCCTACCACCCCTTTCTTCTTGTTTGTCTCTTTGAACTTGATGGGTCCTTTGAAAACAGAAAGCCTCAGAATCAAAGTCCTGGACAAGACCTTAGAGATGAAAGGTGGTCCTGGCTTGAGGGGAGTTGAGCAGCCCCTGCTCTCACTATTTTTGGAAGATGCTATTGTATTTTTGTCGTTGATCCTGGCCAGGCTTGGTGGGAGCAGACGCTACGCTCTGATGGCCTGGTGCACATGGAGTTGCCCTGCTAATTCAAAGGGCTGAATCCACCAGCAGCCCCTCAAGAGAATCAGGGGCAATCTCCAACCCCCCACCCCCCCGTGAGATATCCAGGAGTGGAAACCTGCTGGAGGCTCTGCTGGGAATTTGTTCTCACTTGTCAGCAGTGAGAGCTGGGGCTGGGTGTGTGTGTGCGGGCTGAGTGGAGAAGGACCCACACCAGGGAACACCAGGGCCTCCTCCCAGCTCCAGCTCAGTGGGTGAAGATGCAGAGAAGACCCTGGCTTCTGCTGGAGGCAGAGCACTCCTTCTTCAGGGTATTGTCATGCCTGATTCCTCTGCCTGGTCTGGTCCCTGAGAATCCCACCCACTGAGATAATGGACAAAAACACCATGGGTAACAACTGCTCCCCAAAATAGGGATAAAAGCTTACCTGGGCCACTCCAAACTCCCACCAATGCAGTTACCTGCGTGTGAGCTACCAACGTTCCCACCCCGTCCTCCATCTGGGCCTCCTCTCCTTCCTGGGGAGTCCTTAGATGGTGCAGGTAACACACGTGGCTGCAATGGCAGGTGGGCTGCTTGAGTCCATTCAGAGATGCCCCAGAAGAAAGGACTGGCAATCTACTTCCCAAACACCAGCCACTAAGAATGGGAGCACGGTTCTACTGACACACACAGGCCACCGAGAACTCTGGTCTACGAGACCTGTGGCTTTTCTCGTCCCTCCTTCAGTGGTGTAGCTGTATGTCATCAAGTCAGAACCTCCTCACAGCCGACCCTCCAGTGGGTTTTCAGAGTCTGTAAATCACATGGGAGGAGACTGTCCATCTTTCTCCCACTGAGCGGCTGGTGGATTCGAACCACTTCAAGTCCTCTGAGTGGGCAGTGCACCTTCTTACCACTAGGCTCCCAGAGCTCCCTCTTTTCAGTTGTTGAGTCTTCTGAAATGGAACCGACACATAGCAGACCTTCCAGCGGGTTTTTAGAGGGAGTTAACTGCACAGGAGATTTGCCCATCCTTCTCCTGCGGGGCAGCTGGTGGGTGAGAACTGAGGGCCTTCGGGATTGAAGCACAACTTCTTGCCACTAAGCCACCGCAGCTCCACCCTCCTTCAGTAGGATTTCTCCATACTGAACTGAAGGCCTCCTTAGGGCGAGACCCTAGAGAACAGGGTCTGTGTGTCCCCCATGGGCCCCTGTGCCGCTTCCCCCACAGGCTGACCTGGCCTGAGCACGTTTGTTTCATCCTCCCCTTTAGATCGGAGACCAGTTTCCAAGCACCTGCCTCTTGCTTGGACATCGTCCTCACCGGCTGAAAAGGAGAAGCTAACTGAGGTCCTGGAGGAGCTGGCTCAGAGATTTAAATAGGCCGGTGAGGCAGCTCCGGGGAACAGAACCATGTATTTTAAAATAAAGCTGACTGGGGCCAAGCACAAGCTCACCTCGACCTTTAGCAGCAGGTTCTTGTCCTGTTATTTCAGAGTAAAAATTCTACTCTTAATATTGATGCAGTCTGCCGGAGGGGAGGCAGGGAGAATGACTGGGAAGATCTGACCCTCCCTCTTTTCTTTCCCTGCTTGACCAGTGTCCACTGCTGACCACTGCAGAGGGGGGTGAGGGGTTGGGGTGGGGTTTGGCTTTGCCTGAGCTGTGCACTTGACCAGGGACAGGTAGAATTGTGTTAAGCAGAGGATAAAACGTGGCCTGGATTAAGCTCGTCTGAGTCACATTGCACACCTAGTTTTGTGGTTGGTACTGTTGATGAAGTGTCTGCCTCACATTTTAAGTGTCCAAGTGACTCCTGGGAAAGTCGTAATGAAACCAGTGAACAGACTGAGGACCGTCAGCAGCCACTGTGGTGTTCCTGGTGAAATGGGTGGCCCTTCGCCCACGGCTGGGAGAGCTGGCGGGGTGCTGCCAGCCAGTCCACATAGCAGGCTTCAGCCAGAGCCGCCTGCCTGTCACTCCGGGAGAGGGTAGTTTTGTGCACCTGCCTTGGGGGTCAGGGTCCACTGGGGGTGGTGACCCTTTCCCTGCCCCTCACAAAAAGGATAAAGTAGGGTGTGTGGACTCTGCAGAGGCCGACTATGAAGGGAAAGTCCCCTAGAGGTGGTTTGGTTTCTTCACCCCTTCTTATCCCCAAAAATCATTCTCTTGAGCGGCTCTGAGAGGTTGCTGTTGGCAGTACGTGCTCTGTGGTCTGGAATGTTCAGCAAACAGACACGCGTTAAAGGACAACTATTGTTAAACAGCTAAAATGGATGAGCTGGCTACAGTTTCTTGGGTGGCGTAAAGCACCTGGGCTTGGCTACTAACTGGAAAGTTGGAGGTTTGAATCCTCCCAGGGGCACCGTGGAAGAAAGGCCTGGTGATCTGGGGACAGGTGTCATCTCACCTTCACGGGATCAGAACGGACTCGAGGGCAGCAGGACGGTTTCTAAGATCCCCACCGTGCGCTGCTGTGGTCAGAGCCGTGTCTGTAGAGAGCAGAAGCATCTCTCCCCGGGGGTCCAGACAACTGGAAACTCACCTGTACCCCAAGACTGGGCAGCAGCCTCAGGGTGAACCCCAGGGATTACAGGCAGGGTGTTACAGCTCAACAAAGAGTGGGACGACAGCAGTCAGGTTTCTGCAGAAATTTATTTTCAACCATGGCGGACACTCTGCTTGGAGAGTCCTTGACACTGACCATGGTGACGGTCCATTTTGGTTCGCGAGAAGCACAGTGGGAAAGTGAGGGGGCGGAGACACGCGGGGCGCTCAGCAGCCTCTGAATGTAGAACTGGATCCAGACACAGGGAGTTCTTGCTTGTTACCACCGAAGTACATTCAAGAAGTTAGTGTCGAGACCGGGTGGTTGGGCGGGGGCGTCGAGAGCTGGCAAATGCCGGACAAGCCAGGCTGGAACCACATCCGAGAAGTCTGTTTTGATTTCTCAGCCCTGACCCCTTGGAGAATTTGCTACTTTCAAAAGAAGAAAGGAAAAGACATTCATAGAGGGACACGTCCACTGCGGGCTGCAGGCGGGCGGCCACGCCGAGTGGTCGAGTCCAGGCCCCTGGTTATGGATAAAGTGGTTAGGCAGGCACTGAAGCAGGGTAGCACCTTCCCTGTTGTCCAGTTAACAGTTTTTGTACTTCATATATGAAGGATATGTGAACAATAGTACATTGAAAAACAAGTCACTTAAAAAGCAAGGCAAATGGCATCAAACAAATACATCGGCGTACAATGGTTATTCCACAGTGAACAGTGATGCACAATTTGGTCCATACTTCCTCTTAGCATATGCTACTGACAGAAGGCTGCCATCCACGGAAATAAAAACATGGATGCCATTTCAAACCTATTTCCCTTTTTATTAGTCAGAATTCACTCTCTAATGCTTCCCAGAGACCCAAGAGGGGTGGAGGGGAAGGAGACGGGTGTGAGAATCACCAGTATCAAGCCTGGACCGTAAATCTGACCTTTAAACCAGCCCCCACCCTGACACATCCTCTGGCAAGATCCTGAGGTGCTCTTTTGACTCAGAAAGGTGGACATGTGAGGTATGTTTTTAATGAGATGGTACCATGACTGTGTCCACCTCCTTCATCCTCTCTTTCTAAAACCACACTTGCTGGGTCAAGAGACAAGAATCCAGAAAGCAGTTCACTGATATGACAGGAGACAATAAAAACATGTTCATAGGCTCTCCGTTACCCAAGCCAGTCCTGCGGATGAGAGACAGCTAATGACAGGGGACACGCACAGACCCTCAGGAATGGAAGGGACCTTCAGAATATCGTCTAACTCAACCCCTACACGAGGCTCTGCTCTCCTTTCCACACCTCTGACGAGAAGCTCTCCATGCCTGTCAAGCGTCCCTAGCTTAGTAAACACACACACCTGCCCTCTATTTTGGACAGGTCTAATTTGAGGATGGCCCGGGAAAGAACAGGGTTCAGATCTTTTGTTCATAAGGTCACTATGAGTTGGACTCGACTCAACAGCACCTGATAACATCAACAACAGTCCCCAGCCAGTGTTTTCATGTACTGGGCCCAAGAGGCTTCTCCAGGAAAGATTAGTGTTTCAAGGCAAAAAATGCCAGCTAGCCATCTTCAGGGTTGGGAAGTCTGTAGGTCTTGGTGATAAAGCTGAGTTGAGGTTTAAACACAAACACTGTGAAGCTGTGCACACGTGACAGGTGGGCGCTGTGAGCAAAAGGCACGTGGGCGGAATGGTGAAGAAGAGAACCGGCCCGAGACCCACCCTGCGAGCAGCCGCTCCCTGGTGAGAGCCCTTTGGTGGGAGACCGAGGTGGACCTGCAGAGGAGGCTGCTCCAGACAGCTGTGGGCTGCGTGCAGGGGTGGGAGCTGCGGCCTCGATTTCCTCCTTAGCCTTAGACTGTGCAGGCAGAGCATACACCCTCATCGCAGTGGCCCTTGCCAAGTGGAGGCCAAAGTTTTCTCCCAATTCACTTACAGACCAGCATCTAACAGTACCAGAGATCAAGCTGTTGGCTGCAGACGGGGGACTGGCCACTCTCTGACATCCACAAACATCTGTGGTCCCCGAGTGCTTGGGGCTTTGTGGTGTTTTTTTTTTTAATACTTAACACAGTTTTAATTAGGAGTCATCTGCAAGCCTACTGAGTATTGACCCAGCCTTTTTTTCTCTCTCCTATATACTGGGCATCCTGTTATCCTATTATAGTTTTCTCTGTTAGTTAAAAGGTTCCCAGACTTTAAGGCCAAAATTTTAGCTCAGCATGGAAGCTAACAGCTTCTGTTTCTATATCCTGCAGTGGAGATAAACAAGTAAACAGGATTCAGTGAATAAACAGTCACAGAATTTGTTAAGACCATTATTGCTGGGGCTCTTATGCTGCCTTAAAAGCCTGCTCACCTGGCTCTTACTCCTCTCAACAATGCCCCCTTCCTTCATCTTCAAACCCCTTCTCTGTAAAAGCCCTCCAGCCAGGTGAGGGCGCTGGGTAGTTCCTGGGATGGGGACCCATGCTCACCTTTGCCACTGCATTGGTTGCACTGGTCACTGGTCACTAAGTGTCCTGTTCCAAGCACCTCAAGTGGCACTCAGGGACCATGATGCTTACAATGGACTGAATTTCTGGTTTTATAATCAAGTTACTAGACATTTACTTCCCTATTGGGGAAAATTCAACTTAAAATCATTGAAAAAGCGGAAAAATTTGGCAATGAGCTTTCATTTTAAAATACAAATCTTGGTGAAGAGATCCGTTTACATACAATTAGACTTCTCTGGAGAGAGAAAACCAAACAAATCAAATTAGATGAATATTTATGTCTAGTAAATGATACAAAATTTGGAGCTATCCTTTGGCTTAAAAGCCAGTGTTAGGGCTTTGAAAAGTGATCACTGTTAGGCAAAATTAAGTGATGGTTTTTCCAAGTAAAGCTCAGGAGACAAACAGATTGGCAATGCTTCAGAGAAGGGCAGAAGCAGTGGGCCGAGGCTCAGGCCACCAGATGGGCAGTGTCAGGATCCTGTACTTGTACTTAAATCCTGCCCTCGGCAGCCTGTAGGGAAGAGGACAGGAAGGGTTTCTGCAGTAGTTGCTTCACTGTCAGGACCCAGCTACTCAGAACCACAGGGCCCAGGCCCCTAATAAGCATCCAGGACACTTAGGAACAGGAACACCCTTGCTCCTGAGAGCACCCCATTTCTTGGCTCCCATGCCCACCATCACCAGCTAATGTTCAGAAGTAATTGTTCCTTAAGAACTCTCCTCCTAGATTTCTTTCTAGCTCTGTAATATGTACTTGTCTGGGATCAGTGAAGAATTGTGTTCTTAGAATCTAGAATGAGCCCTTCCAAGTTTTCAGTTTTATGATTCTCTGAATCAAACAATCAAATGAGAAATACCCCCTAATACACTGATGATGACTGGTTGACCTGATAAGAAAGGAGAGAGGAGTAGTTAATCTAAAACCCCCCTTTGGTGCTGTGGTCTGGGAGGCTGAAGGCTCCAGCAGCTTCATTCCTTTGGACAAACAGAACATGTGAATGGTTTTGTTCTGCCAAACTGACAGCCACAACTACATGTATAACATGCAGTTTAGTCACCTTTTCAACACAGCCATGCTAGGCATCGCCTGCTGGCACTGCTGTGCATCTAAGGGAGCAAAATCCATGTACAGTGTGAGCCCAGGAGGGCAAAGCAAGAACTGTGGCCGTTAACGTAGGTGGGAGAAAAGCCGGGTGCTGTGGCAGCTGCCACTCTTCATAAGGGAAGCCTCTGTTTCCATAAAACACTGGGGGGACACCAAACACCAGCAACTATTTCCGAGTTACAAGTATGGTGGAGACACTGTAAAACTCTCAAGAATTCACAGTATGGCGT